CGACACAGTGGTGTTCTGTGTCCATAAACCTTTGGCCGTGTGTGTGTGTGTGTGTGTGTGTGTGGTTTCATTGCAGAGGGGAAAGTTTTCTTCGATAAGCCGAGGAGGAGACAAAGAGGGGAGGGAGGGACTTTACTGTTTTGCAAGAAAATGAAGAGAAGAACATGAAAGAACGGAGGAGGAGGGCCACGGACATTTAATGTGTCATCTGAGTGGGTAAGTGTGTGTGGGGGGGGCGTGAGAGTGAGAGACGAGTGAACTGTGTCCTTTTGAATCATTATGAACTTCAAAGAATGTCGCTCTCGTTAAAAATGGACGTCCATCCTTCCATCCTCTGAGAGAATGTGTGGGTGTGCGTGTGTGCGTGCGTGCATGTGTGTGTCACACTGCCAGGAACAGGGAGACAAAGAAACACACACACTTCTGGTTCTGTGGTTCGTCGCTGGTTCCACTGGATGAAGCTTCTCCACAGATTTCTCATCAATCAGCTGCTACAGATTAAATTTTCATTTTAAAAGAGAAAAACACATAAAACCAGGTAGAGCACAGAGATAATTAAACGTAGCTGTGACGCCGTTGTGCAGCTTAATGAGGAATTAACCGGACCGTCGCTAAACAAGGAATCACTCTCTTTGACCCCGTCGACCTCACACACAGCTCCGCACACGCTGGAGGAGACGAGATCGCTCACAGGTCAAAGGTCAAGGTGGACAAAAACATGTTTGATATGAATTCTACGCAGGTGATGAAAGATGATCTGACGCTGATATTGATCAGAAGGTTATTCCATCGTGTGTGTGTGTGTGTGTGTGTGTGTGTTAACATAAACACGCAAGTTACTTTATAAGACACATTTATTAATTTGCTTTTGCGAATTTCAAAACCAACCAAGCTGGAAAAACATGTTCATGCTTCTTTTTTGTAGTAAAAATTATTGTGCAACATGTTTTCAATTTGAAGTTTTTGATTTAAAACGTATTAAAGACTTGAAAACCACGTGTGTGTGTGTGTGTGTGTGTGTGTGTGTGTGCTGGCTTGCTTTGGTCTGTTGCATGTAAACAAACATGTCTAGACAAAAGAGTTAGAAGAGACTCATTAACACTAATTTACTCTGGATGTATCCTCTCTCTCTCTCTCTCTCTCTCTCTCTCTGTTACTTTACTACCTTTTTCTGTTTTTCCTCCTTTCATCTTTCCATTAACTTTCTCTCGTCTCTCCATCCTGTCATTTCACAAATGTTTCATCATGCACACATTTTCTGATCAGCAGGAAAACACACATTGTCATTTTGACTCGTCCCCCACGTTTTCTCTGTCCCAGTGTGTGTGTGTGTGTGTGTGTGTGTGTGTGTGTGTGTGTGTGTGTGTGTGNGTGTGTGTGTGTGTGTGTGTGTGTGTGTGTGTCTCATGACTTCCTCTTCATCACTAATCACTCTCATCTGTTGATCTTCTTGATCTCCGCTCTGTTGCCTGATACACAGCAGAGCTGCAGGGCCCCTGAGAGGAACAGTGTGTTTGTGGTTCCATAGAGTCGGGCAGGACAGTAGGGGACGGAATCTGAGGCCAGAGTTTGTGGTCTGAGCTGATGGTAAATGTGTGTGTGTGTGTGTGTGTGTGTGTATTTATGTGTTTATTACAAAGAATTGTTTCAAGGAATCAGCTGGAAATGAGTGGTCCAGTAAAGTTGTGTCTATTATTGGAACGGTGTGTTACGGTCAATGTTGAGACACAAAGAAACTGCTGATTAGCATCTTGAATAATGAAGTTGTACACTCATATGATTCTGAAAACACAGATATGTCCAAAACCACGCACGCTCTTTGGTTTCTGACACTGATATCATCATTTCAAAGGCAGCTCCTCACTCGACGCACATTTGTGGATCTAGAGCCTCAGGTTGATTTCACACCGTCATGATGTGTGTTTGTGTTTTAACCAGAACCTGTAACCAAGCAGGATGAAAATAGCTCACACAGAATTAAACAATCTTTTCCACATGCTGCCCCCCGCCCCCCCCCCCCAGTGTGGTGTACAGTATGGTGGTCGGACGTCGACTCGGGAAATCCCATAAAAGTGTGTGTGTCAGCGAGATGACAGAGCGAGACAGACTCTACATCACTGCGTCTAGAGCTGCAGTGTGTGTATACAAACACACACATTCTACACCCCACGCCAAGTTCCTGGTCTTGACTCAACACCATAAACGCAGCGTCCCATCATGCTCGGCGGCGGCAGCAGCAGGGTGAGAAAGCCCGACATGATGACATGATGCGTGACATCACTTACACACACACTTTTTGGATTAGCAGACTGGCATAACGACAAGAGATGTGTGTGTGTGTGTATGTGAGGGAAAAAATGGGTGGAATTCCAATAGAAGTCTTCACACACACACACACACACTTGTGGGGGGCTATAAATGATGTCTGTAATTATTTAAACACACAGATCACACTGGAGGGTTTAATTCCACGAAACCAAGCTTTCCCACTTTGAGTCAAACACACACACACAGTGACAGAGCAGCCCGCGGCCTCTCTGACACGACGGTTTAGTGTCTCATTAGCAGCCGGTGGAATGCCAACAGATAATTAACCAGGAGAGATGAAGAGAGAGAGGGAGGGCGAGTGCCGGCAGTAAAACACATGAGAGAGAGAGAGATGGATAAAGTGAAATCACCGAAGGAGAGAGAAGCTCTCTGTGTGTGTGTGTGTGTGTGTGTGTGTGTGCGTGAGAGAGAGACTCACTACACCACTGACACACTTTCACTGATAATAATAGGGGAAATTCATCATTGATTTTGTTCTATTCTTTTTACAGCACACAGGCGTCGGCCCTTATCACCGAACACTCTGCAATCTCGTCAGACACAATCTGAAACGTGTGAAGTTGTAAAAACGCTGTGATGCAAAATCCAAACAAAACCTCAGAACATTTTCGATCATTTGAACCCAAAAATATTATAAACTGTTGGAATTGTCCTTTAAACGAGGTCAGTGACTTGTGGTGATTCTGATGAGCCTGCGTTTTTATCGTAAGACGTAACTGGTGTGAATTTGGTTGCGTGCCAAGTCAAAATGAGTAAAATCTTTGTCAAGCGTCCTTGTTTTGTGTTCAGTGCTGTGTGTAAAGTTTAAGCACATGTTGTGCGCTTCTTAACTTCACAATCTATGACTAGATTCTGTGACAGTTCAATATTTCAGCTCACTTTTATTAGTCAACAACCGTGTCGGACAAATGCTTTAAACGACATTTTATTTCAGTATGAGCAGATGTGTAAACAAAAAGCACAAGATGCAAACTTTGCTTAAAAAAAAAAAAATCCAAAAACATTTTCGAGCACATGTAAGATGTCAAACGACCGTGGCCCCAACAGCCTGCAGACTTAAAGCTAAACGCTCCTGATGTCTCATTATATCAGAGCCCAGTTCTTAAAATGAAACAAAACCAGATGCTCGTTTAACTTTGGCAGCGGAGAAAGAGGCTCGAGCTGAACCTGACAAAAACAGACGGTAAAACTGTTGAATTGATGAAGAGAAATCAACACCTGCTATTGAAAACATGTGTGAATCCATGTTTCTTTCCCGACACCCAGCATTTACGCTTTGCCTCATAAATAGCTGGAAGATGCTCGAATGCGCAGAGACGGTAAAACAACACCAAATTAAAAAACAAGTGCAAGTGCAGCGTTGTTCTCGGGGGCGTTTCACACCTTGTTTGTTTCAGAACTTTTCAGTTTAGTCTGAACCCAATTATCATGTGTGAAAGGTTCCTCAGAGCAGAAGAGGTGTTCTGGGTCTGGATCAAACTGAACCATGGTTCTGTGGGTTTGCAGAGTGAAAACACGTTTTGGATAGTTCTGCTTTTTGGACCAATAACAGGAAGTAGAGACAACAGTAAACAATAGAAGAAGAAAAAGAGGAAGCAGCTGCAGTCTTCACCTCCGACGATTTAATGTTTGAACCACGACGACGACGACGTTCATTTCGGTACATTTGAACTAGTGTGGAGTACTGTAGTACTGTGGAGTACTGTAGTACTGTGGAGTAACTGTGGAGTACTGTAGTACTGTGGAGTACTGTAGTACTGTGGAGCAACTGTGGAGTACTGTAGTACTGTGGAGTACTGTAGTACTGTGGAGTACTGTGGAGTACTGTGCCTGAAGGTGCTGATGCTGGGGGTTATACCCTTTAAGAAGTTACCATGGCAACCAGATGCATTTTATTTATCTTCCCCATTCAAACAGAAAGACTACCACCCCTGCCCCCCAACTGACAACACGCTGTCTACAAACCAATCAGAGCAAAGGTAGACGCAGCCCTCGTAGGTGACGACAGGACGTACGTGTGTCAGACAAAATTCTTTAGTCCCTAAATTACAATGTGAAACCAAAACTAACAGATCAAACGAAACTATGGAACAAACGCACGAAGCTGATTCATTCTCTCTGGTGAGAAAACGATCTGAGTCGTTTTCACTTTGTTTTTGAGTTTTTAGTTTGTTTGCAGGAGCAGATTTCAGTCCACGTAACCACATTCACGGTCAATTCCACTTCATCACATTCACCAAGCAGCTTGTTTTCATTGCTGTTTGTTTGTCTTTTAGCAGGATGACGCAAAAACTACCGAACCCGCTTCCTTCACACTCTGACAGGTGGGACGTGGGACTCATTCACTTTTGGAGCAGATTCCAGGATTTCCCCCCCCCCCCCACTTTCTTTAACAATGTGAGATACGGTATTATTTGACGTTTTTGTGAAATATTGCAGAGATCTTTAAAAGAACTATCAGGTATGTGCAGAGAGATAATATCTATCAACAGGTGAAATTCGGTGCAGATCTGAATAATGATCCAGGTCTCGTGACTCCACATAATATTCCTTTCCACAATATCGGAGAATGGATATTTTTCCTGTGTTGAATTTGAAAATGTCTGTGTACGTGGTTTGTGTTTTACTGATCTCGATACATGTAAATGAAGTGTGGTGATAAAGCGGCCAAGTGACATGAAACTGAAATTTATCTCACAAGTGATGATGAAACAACGAGGAAAAAGAAAAGAAGCAGCACTAAAATTCGAATTCATAGACAGCAGCAGACGACAGTATGCAAACGTTTGTTAGTTAAGTTCCTTTTTCAATTACAAAATTAGATGTTGGGCTGATGATCAGTGATGTTAGTTCATATCCAAGTCTTCTCTTTTTATCATTGATCCAATAAACATAATAAACATGAATCCATGTTGGCGAAACCAAGAGAAAATCCTCAGAAACATTTTTCTCGGGCTCTGATGTAAACTGACTGTGTGAACGATGAGATGCTGATGATAAAAAAAAAAAAACTTCATAAGGCAGATTCATCAGGTCTGGATGCTCCACTTCTCCGATCCCTGTCGACGGCACAGTCTTCGTCAGGATGGAGAGAAGACGAGGGTTCTCTTCACCTCATCTCCTCTTGTGGGAAGTGTGGTCATAAAGAAAGAGAGAATGAGGAGGTGAAGACAGCAGAGTAGAAAAATTGGACGTCAATCTCTTCACTCCGAGGAATCTTCTCATCTTTTCGGAAGGGGAGGAGGAGGAGAGGAAGAGAGGATCTCTTCCTCCTCCCGTCCTAAAATTAAGTTTTCTGAGTGGAGTAGTAGTGGTCGTAGGAGTAGAAATATAAATAAACAAGATGTAAAAGGAGGTTTGTTCAACACCTCCTTCACATCCTTTTCTTTTCATTCTGATCTCCGTCTCGTTTCAGAGTCTCGTTAGTTCAGACTTTCCACCGCTTCGCGCGCAGACCGTTTCCTGGGAGATGCGACGGGCTGGTGCATCGGCTGGTCGATCTATGTTTCATGGCGTCATCTCAGTCAGTGGGAACGGGGACAACGCAGATGTGCAGGAAGTTGTCAGGGTGGCTCAGGTGTTCGCTGAGCCACTGAAGAGGCGTCTCCAGCAGCGGCTCGATGCCGTGGATCACCACCTGGTAATGCTTTGACTCACCTGGATGGAGAGAGAGACGGAAAAAGACATTAAAAACAATTAGCCATTTATTTAACGTTCTTCTAATTTCAACGGTTTATAACTATGTATGAAGGAAAAAGAAGAAAAGCGTAGACACAGAGGATGAAAAGAGAGAGTAAGGAAAGGACAACAAAATGGAAAGGAGACGAGTAAATCAGATTAAAAAGGGAAAAGAAAGCGATGAAAAGGAGAAATGAGAAGAGAAATAAAACTGGTAAACAAATGAAGGGGGAAGAGACGACAGAGGAGAAAAGAAGACAAGATAAAGAAAATTAGATAGAGGGAGAGAAAAGAGAGAGATAGTAAGATGAGGTGAGAACGACCACATCAAGGATCAGTGATACCGCGGGTGTGGTGGCTGAGAGAGAGTGAGGAGAGAAAGTGTGTGCGTGTGTGTGTGTGTGCGTGCATACGTGTGTGTGTGTGTGTGTGTGTGTGTGTGTGTGTGTGTGTGTGTGTGTGTGTGTGTGTGTGTCAGTTATGAACCAGTGCAAAGTGACAGTTGATTATTTTAGCGTTCGTCGTTGAGTGCATTTGAATTTCAAACTTTCACTCTGACAGTTCGCACTTTCAGACAGGCGCCACCTTCGCTGCAGCCCGGTGACCTCCTCGAGATCGGCCGTTACTGAAAGGCTGCGACCGCAAGTCATCCGTTACAAGAAGCAGCAGCGTTCTCGACGTTCTCAGCCATCGTGAGAATTACGATTTGAATTTTAATCACGCCCGACCTTCATTTTTTCACATGAAGCCGTTTCACCAGGAGGAAGTGATGTCACGAAGCTTGAATCAAAAAAAAAACGTAGACCGTCAATAAAGATGGACGACATAACGGCTCCCAAACCAAAGTGTCTCAATCGCCCCCTGGTGGCTGGCTGCAGTATATGAGGACATGAACCCTGCCTCCTCGGTGTTAGGTTGTTGTTATCACGCTGATGTTTGTTCAAGTTTGGTTTTAATAAGTGATCTGATGATATAAACATGAGGTCAAACATAATGATCGACGAAAAACTTGGTACGAAATGGCAGCGTTCATATCGAGGACGTTTTGGCTTCATTTACAAACCACAGCTTATCTCTTGCTCTTTGTTTCCTTTTTCTCTCTGAGTGATTTTCGTATTAAAATGCGAGAAAAAATGAAAAGTTAATCAAAGTGCTGTCTTGTTTCTGCATGACTCGTCACAACTGATACCAGAAAATCACAAAACAAGAAACCACAAAAAAGAAGACAAACACTTTGACTTGACATAATAAAATCAATTTTCCAGGATTTGGAGACACTGTGATATTTATTAAATATATTTTTTAAATGTATTACAACATTATTTTCACATTATTATTCAAACAGTTGTTTAAGGTGTTGTTATTAAGAGCTCTCTCCCTCCTGATCAAGTTGACGATGACTAATGTCACAAAGTAAAAACAGAGTGCCTTTAAAAAAAAACTGCATGCACACAGGTTATTAACATTTTCTGTCACTTTAGCTTTAAATATTATAATTTCCTACAAAGATGTATAAAAATATTCATCTTTAGGGGAAATTTAACTCTGGATTAAATCTTTTAACTTAACATTTTGCTTTGGTTTCACTAGAAACCCTTCAGACCTCGGAACATGCTCAGCTGTGTAAAGACCAATAAGAATTTTCTCTCGCCTCCGTAGTGATTCATGTTTCGAGACAAATATTTTTGCAGTTTTTGCAGCATGAAGGTGACGCATGTTTTGATAGGCCTTAAAAACAGAAACCGTGTTTAAGAAGAGCATTAACGGGAAAACAGTTAATACAGCTGTTTCCACTGTGGTTGGTTTGAGAGACAGAGATTTTAATTAACGCTTTCTGTTTAATTTGAAAGACGGAATAAATGTTAGGGGGCATGCAAGTGCCTCTTCAGCTTTTAGCCAAGAATGACAACTTTCTCTCACACATTCAGGACATCTGCATGTGCGTGAGAACGACAGACAATTATGGGCCTTTTCCTGTCAATCACTTTTGACCTCATCTCTCTCACACTCACACACTCACTCACACACACAGACACAGAGACACACAACCCGAGTGTGTGTCCTCATTCACCCATCGTGTTCGTGACATTTTAGCTCCACGTAATATCAGGAGGGCGGTTGAGGCAGAGCGTTAACTGTCGCTCTGAGACGCGGCTCCGCCCTACACCTGCTGACTGGCGACAAACTTTAGTGTGTTAAAACTGTTCTTGAGAGAAATAGAGAAATTACAGATGTGCACACTCAGGACAGAGGTGTGTGTCAGAGGTACCAGCCTTTACTGATCACTGCTCCAATAAAAATAAATAA